AAGCGGCAGCAGCATGCACTGCCTGAAGCTGGAGCCTTGACAGCTGGAGTGGCACTCTCCTGCCAGCCAGGCTCCGTGCAGCAGGATCATCGCTGCAGCAGCCCTGGGAGGCCCCCAGGGCCCCAGGTAAGGCTGCTGGGACCAGCCCAATTCTGGCCCCAGCCTCCCTTACCCCACCTGGGGTAAACTGTCATGCACCAAAGCACACATGGCGCAGGCGTTCCCTAGGGACTACTAGCAGAGGCACAAGATGCCAAGTTGCTTTTAGTTGTCCGCAGGGAACCAAACATCCACACGTGTCTGGATGCAGCCTTGTAGTCGAGTCCAACCCCATGCTCAAGACAAAATCATCCCTGTTCCAGTTATCCCATCCAAGTGCTCATTTAACCCATTCCTCAAACTATACAATCAAGCTGGTTACAAACCTTAAAGCATATTGCACAAAGACACCAAAAGCACCACAACCTGCTGCAGGTAAAATAAGGGGGAAATGGCAGCGATATCCTGCTGTTGTAAAGTCTGTTAACAATTCATTTGAGAGATCTAAGGAAGAAGGCCATCCCCTCATGCCCTGCTACAGAGGAAGGCAAAACCCCTCACTGTCCATACCAGTTTGACCAGGGGGTCAAATTCCTTTATTATCCCAAACATGCCAATCAGAGAGACAAGGCCCTGTAACTTGTAGTAGAGTTACACTTGTGATCAAGTGTTGAAAAAATAAATTCTATCACTGTTCTCAGTGATCCCTTATGATGGGATATTTGTATCTACAGACTTTTGTGGACCAGAACAGACCTAACAGTTTATGTTACTTGAAATTAATAATGATTAGTAAAGTGTACCAAATGCTATCAGTTATAAGATCATTAATTTATATGCATATAACTGCCAATTTTAATTGGTCTGAAATTTCCATTCTTGTTTTCTTCCTCAGACTTAATGGTTTTTGCAAGTTATAGCAAAAGTAGGTCAGCTGTTTCTGAGAATTATTGTTATTGAGGTGTACCTTTATTCATGATATATCCAAGTTTTGCAGATTTTTAAGTCCCTGAAAATAGCTATTTTGCTAAAGTAAAAACTGTTACTGCTAAAGTTTCTTAACACTCAATCTACACTGGGTGTGAACCTGCCCCACAGTGATCTTACTGCGATCTAAACCTCCTATGGGGTATGCACAAAGGTATAATTGTGGATAAGGGTAACTTGCCTTTTAGCAGGGAAAAAGGTGGGTGGAGAACCGGGTGAATTCAATCATGCGTTTAAGTCAAGCCTCAGCTTTTTCATGGTTAGATGCTGATAATTCTTTACACTTCGTTGACCTTATTACTGATCTGGGTCTTATATTCCTACTTTACACAGCAGGTAAGTATCATTTTCCTCTGTGAAAGTTTGGGGAATCTGTTGATGTAAACTTAAGAGTTCCATTGGAGTTCATGAATTCTCTCTCTTTACTCTAAATCCTCCATTTTATGGGCAGGAACACAGTATCAAAGAAACTGAAACAGGGCAACGAGGGCCATGAGCAGCTGAATAGCCCTTTCCTTATAGAACAGTAGGAAGCACAGGCCAAAAAATGTTGATTTGCTGATGACTCTTACCACTGGAATGACTCATGCAGAGAATGGAAAAACCCTAGCAGATAGAAGGGGGAAAGGTGTTGTAAACTGTTGTTAAAAAGAGATGTTCTCTAACAAAGGGGAGAGAGACTATTGCCAAAATGCAAGCTTTGAGCAGGAGCGAGGGGGTTGGACCACCTAGAATACTGAAATCCCCAAAGAGTCCCAAGAGTGGTAAGAAAATTGCATGAATTGAGCTGTTTTTTAAGCTATTTGTGTCTCAGGAATTCTGTTGCAAAATTTGAATGCTCTTTTCTTCAACAGTCACACCATACCCCCAAAAGTGATAATTTAAACTGGAGAGCCCCTGAGGGTGGAGTGCTTGGGACAGCGTGCATAAGCCACTGGGGAGATTTGGGGATTCAGTACTTGTCTTACAGCAGTTGGACCACTGGTCCAGCTTCCTCTGATGTGGAACCAGATATATGTAGTTCCAAAAATGTGCCTGAGACAGTGACTGGATGCTGTCCAATTCCAGCAAGCTTTATGCATATGGGATCCAAAGACTGCCCAATATAGCAGTTTATGAAAACTTAGACAAGGCTGTAACCTTTTTCCTTCATATTGCAGTAGCATAACTAGTAGATTGCCAGAAAGGTCCCTTCTGGCAGCTGGAAGAATATAGGATATAATCCAAGTTTTAACAGATCCAGTCTCATCCATTTCGGAGTGCAGCCTTTCGAGATGAATGTACTAGATACATGATTGACTGTGCTGTGAACAAGTAACAGACTACATTCCCCTCCAGTCAAAGCAGAACATAGGTTGCCTGACGGCTGACTATCCTCTGCTGTCTAGCAAAAGATTTGTGTAGCCACCTAAAAAGTGTGTGGGCTCCCTCTATTGGCTTGTTCGCATAACTACAAATATTAGTTCTTTCTTTAGGTCAAGTGGTAGCAGTAGTGTAACTAGGGGTGGGCAAGAGGGGCACCTACTGGATTGCCCCACTTCTCCCCCCAGCAGTCTGTGTTCCTGCAGCATTGCTATGCCAGGAACTCCAAAGCAGTTCCCAGGTTCTGTTGCTTTAAGAGCAACAGCCAGGTGGGCAGCAGCTTAGCTGCTACTGTTCAGAAGTTCCCAGCATGGAAACTTCTCCCCCCAACTCCATCTCTCAGGACCCCCATCCGCCATTCTTAGAACTTGCACAGTCCCTATCCCCACCCCCAGAACCTCTGCCCCCGCCTCCCAGCTCCTAGAGCCTGCAGGGCCCCTTCCCCTGCTCTCAGACGTATGCACACCCAGCTTTCCCCTGCACGGTTTGCCCTCGGCAACAACTGGTTGGCTCGCTGCTGAGTGGTAGAGGTCTGTGCTGCAGATCAAATCTTTATAGATTAGTATAACTCCATGTGAAGGAGCCTGTTAGTTGAGTTTGCTTTTAAAAAGAACTAAAATAGAGACAAAGAACTAAAATAGAAAGAACATTAAAGTGGTAAAGTCAAGCATTCAAAAGTTAGAAAATGCCAGAATTAAGATTATCCATGCATCCTCATTCCCGTCATACTGTGTCTCTGTATGATGAAAGTTTTCCATTACATCAGGGTTTTTCAACTTTTTTTTAACAAGTGTCCCCCTTCTGTCTCAGAGTTGCAGCTCATGTACTCCTTTATATATTTTTTTGTGTTTAATGTTACCATTAACAGGAGGGAGGGCAGATCGAGTCCCCAGTGGTGAGGGAGGGAGTGGGGCTGGGCCTGGGGCAGGGATAGGTGCTGCACAGCTGGCACGGGGTGCAGGATGGAGCTGCAAGTGACTTGTCTGGTGGGCGCAGGGGGGAGGCTCCCACTGCTGCATGCACCCTGGGACAGTATGGGGGGCACGTGCCTCCGGATCTGTGCATGGAGCAAGGTGGACTGCCACTGTGGGCTGGGGCCAGGGCAACACTGGGCTCTTCCCAGTGTGGGGCTGGGCTGGGCTGCACTTGGGGTGGCTGGCGGCAGTGCTTTAACAGGGGTGTACAGGGGGGAGGGCTGCAGCCACCCCAGAATTCACCGTAGCCCCCACTCCCAGCGCTGCCACTGCTGCTTGCTCCGAGCACAACCCCAGTGCGGCCCCCCTGCTGGGAAGAGCCCGGCGCCACCCTGATCCCAGCGGTAGCCTACCCTCTCCCCATGCGCAGATCTGGGGGTACACACCCCCAGCCCTTGCTGGGGTACATGCAGCAGCAGGAGCCATGCCCCCTCCCTACACCCCCTGGATGAGCTGTAGCTCCATCCCACACCCCATCCCAGCTGTGCAGCTCCTGCCTCTGCCCCAGCCCTACTCCCTCCCTCACCACTGGGTCCTCAATCAGCCCCCCCATGACCTTTTCCTCACAACAGCTTACCAGCCAGAACTGACTGCTCTTCATTCTGCCAGATTGTGATCCTGGCCACCTGCATGGAGCGCTGCGGCTATGTGCACGCACAGGGCATTTATCAGGCACATCAGCCAAAAAAGACCAATTGTCGATACAGTTAGTTTTCCTTATATCAGTGCTGATCCAATATGGAACCAATGCATTGGTGCACCTCTATAAAACAGGAATTTTTTCTCATTCATTCTGTGTATCCTCTATGACCTTTTTAAGTACCCCGAGGGGTATGCATACCTCTGGTTGACAACCACTGCATTACATGGATGCATACATCTGTTATACAGAACTTGGGCCTCATTTGGTACATAGATAGTAAATGAAGCAAAGTTGTTTGCTTTTGGGTTTTTTTAAATAAAAGAAAGGATCTTTTATTTAAACCTCTGATGAGCTGTTTGAACAAAAATGATGAAACATTTTTCCCATAGCAAATGAAGTTCTGTTAAAATCAAAATGAGCGTGTTGACTTGAACAACACATTCCATGGGAAAAAATCAGAATGATTCACTTCAACCTCTGTACTTAATTTTAGTAATATCAAAAGTTTTGTTTAAGCATTTTGCCTTGTTGCAATTTTTATAATTTAAATATTTTTATATATGATGCATTTTCAACAGTAATATTTAATATATAATGTTTTGACTTTATTGAAGTCAAGTGTTTTTTACCATAATTTTAGGAACAAAACTATTTAAAAATTGGCTAAACAAAATGCTTCAGTGCTTGCAAATGTTATTTATTTATTTATTCATTTCTTTCCAAGATCAACTTTTTGGAATGAAAGCAATTTCAAAATGTTGCAATTTTTTGGAGGAAATTAAGTCTTTTTACTAAACAGCTTTATATAGGGCTTAACAATTGCACAGCCTGTTTTTGACTATTTTACAGGGGGTTTTGTGCTGTTCAATAGGGCAATGAGTGTGTTTAAATGGAGCAGGCAATTATTTGGGGTGGAAGGCAGCTTACTGAGTTTTGGTAAGCCATCGAGGGCCACATGACAGGCAGTCAGGGGCAGATATATATTAATTTTCTACATTTTTAGGGGCTCCGCAGGCCAGATAGAATGGCCTGGCGGGCCGCATCTGGCCCGTGGGCCACATTTTGCCCACCCCTGGCTTAGATTCAGTAGAGATGCCAGGCTAAACTTAACTGTGGCATTATAAAATTTTGAGTGCTCAGTTTAGTGACTTTAATGTTCCTTTGATATAGATTTAGCATGCAGCATAATTAACTATCAAAGTTTTCAGTCTGTTAATTTTTTTCTAATTTTTATTAGCTTTGGATTACTTAGTTTGGATAATGCCTTTTTTGGTGAGTTCACATCCATAGAAGATGATTTCTGGGTTTGTCTTCATCTTCCATATGACAGGAAAAAAATGTAAAAAAGTAAAAAAAATAAAAAGTTAAAAGAACACTGAATAGAGAGATGCTATTATATTTTAATTCTTTTCTTTTATTTATTTTATTTTCATAAATGGATATTTTATTCAACTTTCCTTAAATGTTGTACTCAAATTGAACAAGATATGTCTGAATCTTAGACCGTTTCTTCGAAGATGATAGCTGTACAATTATGATACCTTTTACTGGTATTATATAATTGTTTAGATGTTTTAGTAAATGTCCACATGGTGGTGCCACAGCTAACAAGTTAATACCCAAAATGGTAAATCAGAAGAATACATATGGTCCATAATATCTGCTTATTATAACTGACAAATATATGTATGTCATTAGAAGATGAATAATTATTCTTTTCCTCAGTATAATTGTATGTTTCATCTCTAAACTGCAAACACCATATTTACATTAATTTTAATCATTGGAATTACCATATAATAATGGATATTTCAGCACATCTTAAAGTGATAGCTAAGTACATGGGAATAGAACGGGCTATCAACACCCTTCTTATTGTGCAATATAGTTATTTTAAAACTACTATATACCCATACTTGGTTCCACATTTCATTTTGTTTTCAAGTTTCCTTGGCATAAAGTATTAGGAACAACATATAAATAAGTTAAAATTTATTCCAACAGTAGGCTGTATTTGGCTGAAATATATATGCTTTTATGTGGCTGACTTCTTATAATTAACTTGCTGCTTTGGGGCATCTCAAAATAAATTATTCTGAGGACAAATTTGAATGATATGAGGATAACAGCTTGCTAGACTGGAATTGGGAGATGCTTCTCTGCATGTGGAAGCTGTGGACAAAGGAAAGAGTTGGTTGTGGAGAAAGTAGAGTCATAGAGTTTATGGCCAGAAGAAATTGTTAGATCATCAAATACAAAACATTGTGGGCCAGCTCCTATTCCAACTATTCGGCATCTAAGTAAACTAATTTTAAGTATAATCCTATTCCACCCCGTACTCAAATCCCTGAAAAACT